GTCTGTGCACGGTATGTAGCACAGGTCCCTGGACGGCTATGTGCAGTGCGACTTGTGTCTACGCTGCAGCGGTCCGGGATGTACTGACTCATCTGGCTTCCTGTTGGATTCAAGGGACTGTTCACTCATATATCAAACAATCCGGAATACAACAAGAACTTGAATGATAAAATCCGTATCCATACTGAGAACAGTTCCTGCGAGTAACGATCTTTTTAAATGTTTCTCTGCTGCAATAACGAAAAACCTATCTAACTAAACGGACTGCGTAGACGACGGACGTACAATTTCAATCTAAATATTGTCATATTTACAATTTGATTCCCTATAAACATTACATCATATATAAGATTTTTTTCTCTATGAAAATTGTTAAATTTTGATTTTTTGATAATGGGTTACCCACAAAGAATGAGACTTTTAGAGACGACTGTACGGAATTAATATTGTCTGTTTCCTTATATCTATGCTTTTCTTACTTTGCAAAATAATCAAAAAGGCCAAAGCAAGAGTGTCTTCAAGGCAGATGACGCAATTTAACCTTGAAATCGTCATATTTCTGGAATTTTAGGTCGTTTTTAAAATCTCATCTTTTGTGGGTAACCGTGTATTTGATATCAATGACTTTCGGATATGTGCAACAGCGACAAGGAAGGAAAATAAGGGAAATTATCTGTTTTCGTGTACCATTACTTATGTCACAGTGCAGGAGAAGAATTGTATTAATAGTAAAAGCTTTATATTTGCTTTGTAATAAAAACCTGAAGGAAAACACCCCATCCCTATCCTCTGATTGAACAGACAATACTGTGAGGGGGGGGGGAGGGGGAGGGGTTGTAACTTGTAAGATAAAAAAATTATTGAATTGCACATTTACTGCAAGCAAATGACATAAGAAGAAGTAACGTGCATGCGACAACACGGATAAGACTTTTTGACCTCGTAGCACCTCCAGTTTTGATGTTATGCACAAGTATAAGCAACGAATCTTCATATGGTTACATATCAGAAATTCATAATATTTTTGTTCTTGTTATAACCCTACACTTGAAGAATTTTTGATTGAAAACATAAAAGATTTAAATCTTACGTGCATAATAATTTAGCTTGACGTACAGGTGAAAAAAAAACATTACAATTTTCTATTTAATAACTTTCTTAGGGTTTGATTTGTGAGTTAGAATTCAAGTGTTAAAGAAGTATTTGAAGCGGATGGTGACGTGGAAAAGGAAGTAAGGGGGGGGGGGGGTTTGGCAAACCTGAACATAAATCTAAAATATTTGTGAAATGGGTCCATTTGTATAATTTAAGCCTAGTTAGATGTTTTCCAAATGTGAGAAGTGAAGACAAGATCTGTCCAAAGATTTATTCTTGGCAGACATTTTGAATTTAAATATCTAGAGGGAGTAAACATGGAATATTCTGATCATATAATGTTCAAGCAGGAGTTTTACATTGCTTATTTTTTATGTCAAGGTTTAGAATTTATAAAAACGTACTTATTTTTTATATTTCCGTGTCTTGGCTTTCATTGCCCAACTCCTTCACATTTTACTTTATTTTCTGTTCTTCCTTATTTTATCCTATAGGTCTGTAAACCCCAGTCTAGTTGGAAACACTTAATTGTGGAGGAACCATAAACACATTTCTGTTGGAACGATAAACACATTTCTGTTGGAACCATAAACTCATTCCTGATGGAACCATAAACACATTTCTGTTGGAACCATAAACTCATTTCTGTTGGAACCATAAACACATTCCTGTTGGAACCATGAACACATTTCTGTTGGAACCATAAACTCATTCCTGATGGAACCATAAACTCATTCTAGTTGGAACCATAAACTCTTTCCTGTTGGAACCATAAACACATTCTGTTGGAACCATAAACTTATTCTAGTTGGAACCATAAACTCATTTCTGTTGGAACCATAAACACATTTCTGTTGGAATCATAAACTTATTTCTGTTGGAACCATAAACACATTTCTGATGGAACCATAAACTCATTCTGTTGGAACCATAAACTCATTTCTGTTGGAACCATAAACTTATTCTAGTTGGAACCATAAACTCATTCCTGTTGGAACCATAAACACATTTCTGATGGAACCATAAACTCATTTCTGTTGGAACCATAAACACGTATTTCTGTTGGAACCATAAACACATTTCTGTTGGAACCATAAACTTATTCTTGTTGGAACCATAAACTCATTCCTGTTGGAACCATAAACACATTTCTGTTGGAATCATAAACTCATTCCTGTTGGAACCATAAACTCATTTCTGTTGCAACTATAAACTCATTCCTGTTGGAACCATAAACACATTTCTGTTGGAACCATAAACACATTTCTGTTGGAACCATAAACACATTTCTGTTGGAACCACACATTTACTTGTGGAGGAACTATAAATTAACCCATTACTCCAGGAACCATGAACACATTACTGCCAAAACCATAATTCATTTCTTTTGGAACCATAAACGCATTACTATTGGAACCATAAACTCATTTCTGTTGGAACCATAATCACATTTCTGTTGGAACCGATAAACGATAAACGATTTTCGGCTAGAACCATAACCCCATTACTGTTGGATTCATAAACCCATTTTTTTTGGAAAAAACTACCTCATTCCTATTGGGGCGATTTTAGAACAATCATTTTAGAACAATAAACCCATTCCCGTTGGAATCATAAGCAACGACCAGTCGTGTAAGAACCATAAACCGCCGTAAATTGGAATCATTTCCTTATTACTATTGGCACCATACACCTTTCAACCATGGAATCATAAACACATTCCTTTAGGAACCATAGACCCATTGGAACTATGACAAAATAGGACCCTCGAGGCTTTGATACAAAGTTATTACCCAATACTACAATAAAAACTATTTTCAGATTATGGAGGTGGAAGAATGTATATTGATTGATTGATTAAAGCCTGAAATGTATATTTTACCAATCCTTCTCATCTGTTCTGCACCTACGGTACATAATGTATAAACTAAAATACAGGGTAGTAAAGTTGAGAGTGTTTTTACGTTCCTGCGAAAAAAAATCAACATTTGAAAGTTATTACTAACTTAAATGATAAGTAATATATAAAATGAAGATGAACACTTCCAGGTCCTAATCTAGAAAATAAAATTAAACAAATTTTTTACTTATTTTCAAAACAAACAATATTATATATCATGTTTTTTGGGGTCTATTTTCAGTTGGTTCCATCTTTTACCACATTTTTTACAGCTTTTTGATGGAACGCCTCTTTTCCCGGATTCAGTATGATTTGTTCTTTATCTCAGCAAAAAATGTTTCCTCTTATGTCCGTAAAAGTAAAAAGGTTTGAGTAACAGCTACCGGAAAACATATATGGTGTAAAAACATCTGCAGTGTATACTGTATACTGCACTGTACACTGGTGTACAAGTACTGTATACTGCACTGTACACTGGTGTACAAGTACTGTATACTGCACTGTACACTGGTGTACAAGTACTGTTTACTGCACTGTACACTGGTGTACAAGTACTGTATACAGCACTGTACACTGGTGTACAAGAACTGTATACAGCACTGTACACTGGTGTACAAGTACAGTATTCTGCACTGTACACTGGTGTACAAGTACTCTATACTGCACTGTACACTGGTGTACATGTACTGTATACTGCACTGTACACTGGTGTACAAGTACAGTATACTGCACTGTACACTGGTGTACAAGTACTGTTTACTGTACTGTACACTGGTGTGCAAGTACTGTATACTACATTGTGCACTTGTGCACAAGTACTGTATACTGCTCTGTACACTGGTGCACAAGTACTGTATACTGCACTGTACACTGGTGTACAGGTACTGTGTACTGCACTGTACACTGGTGTACAAGTACTGTATACTGCACTTTACACTCGTGTACAAGTACTGTGTAAAGTGTACGCTGATATACTTATTCTTGTACGTGTCTTTCTTTTACCTAAAATTAAACAATCAATTTTTTGTAAGTTTAATTTTTTTATAGAAAGTTTAAGGAATTTTTTTTTTTAATCTGTTATTATATATGACTAATAGTTTCCTTAACTGTTCTTAAAACTTCTCACTTCTCGCTGTGCAAAAATATTAATAAAATCTTTTACAAAAGATCATTTTTATCTTTATTTTGGCACTGAAAACTTTTTATAAAAAATGTTTTTTTTTTTTCAATTTCAACTGTTTTAATTCATTTATGAAAACTTTTCTTTTTTGTGTTTTTAATTTTTCTCCTTTGTTTGAATTGGTAAATACTACGAAGGATCAGTGATCATTATGTTTCAGCAAGAAAGGCAATCTGGATTCCAAATCGTAAATTTCCATTAATTTATCTTTGGTTCTCAATTTAAAGTTCTAGAAAAGAATAATCATTAATTACAGGGTTACCAAAAAAGAAAAAACTTTAAGTACGACTTAAATAGTATTCATTTTGACGAATTTAATTAAATTTAAATTCGATCTTTGGTCGTAAATGCAGTAAATGTAAGTAAAAAGACTAAACAGGTTCTGAACACTGATGCTTCGTGGATAACCCTGTATTTAAAGGGACCGTTAACTTCTAAACTAGCCAAACAAGAGATAAATCAATAAACCCTTAGTGAAATTATTCTGTTCATAATCTTTGGATTGTTTTTAATCTAAAGAAAAGTGGGGAAAATTTAAAAGAAAATAATTAAATTGTTTAACATCTTCTTAGATTTTGGGAAATACTGAAAGGCATAAGCAAGATTTTCTGCCTGCTCCATATACAGGTAAACTTTGTACGCAAATTAAAACGCTATTTAAAAGTTATTTGTAAGTTTTTACAAAAAATATTTCCTTAAGATACGCTAAAAAAATTTTCTAACTGTAAACATAAGAACCCGAGCGAAGTGAAAGTTAAACTTTTTTATTTTAATTTTCTACAGCAGCAATTTTTACATTTGCACTCTGTCAATATTTAAAATTAAGATTAATAATATAAAACTTGATAATATTGATTAAAATAATAAATTACGAGATACTAGATAAATGTAGTTGAACCAGGTTTAACATACATTATTAGTTCAGAAATCTTATTGCTAAAAGAAAATTTGTTAAGTGTCCTGAACTCTGTTGTTCAAACTTCATAAACGCATTTTTCAAATTTTAATCACATTCTAATATTTTAAACTGTGTTATAGGACACAACATATTTTACCAGAAATTCTTTTGTAAATCTACTTTTATTTTGTATTCTCTACTCGTATATTTAGGATCCCACCTGAAAGTTTCTACAGTAGCAGGAATGCTGACGAACCTACCTTGTAATATAACTCCTAGTATACAAGATGACAGAGTACTCCTAGTACTCTGGTATAAGGTAACCTACATTGATATTTAACTCCTAGTATACAAGATGACAGAGTACTTCTAGTACTCTGGTATAAGGTAACCTACCCTGTAATATAACTCCTGTTGTACAAGATAACAGAGTACTATGATTTAAGATAAACAGTTGATTTCACATGTTAAAAGTGACTGAAGGATCAAAATCAGAAGTTTCAGAGCAATTTCTTCAATCATATCTATATCCGATACTGAAGAAAAATATATGCTTTAGATTTGCTCAGAAATTAACATTTTTTATTAATTACATTCCTCATTATTTATTTCATTTAATCAAATAAAAACTTTTGTTTGGAATTATTTTGGCTTATTTTTACTCAATACATATTAGAAAGTCAAGCTTTTATTTGATGTTTAAGGTGTTCCACCTGTATATATATATATATATAAACATATTCTCAATATGATCATGCTCAATATATTATAATAGATAACCAATACTTGTCATCTTGAATATATTCATATATACATATATTCCCTCATTTCCCTATCTTGTGTAGATATGACAATAAACAGATATCATCAAACCGTATGAATAGAATACTGTAGACAGGAAAGGAACAGTTACACTGTATCTATATTGTATATTTAATACCATATATGTAGACTTTTTGCAAATCTGGGGATTGTAAACCATTAAGGAACTGTATTTTAACCCTATCCCTGCTGGGGTACTTGAAAACCAGGATACGCTGTGGGGGGGGGGTCAATTTGACCCCCCCCCTCTAAATCCCATGTTTTATGTCCAAATATGACAAATGATACATCATTATAAAGCTCTTGGGCTCTAATTTTAGAATCTGCTAAAAAAATTGCAAATTTGCGAAAATTGAATTTTTTATCGCAAAATCCAGTTTTATAGTAAAAATGTTTGCAAAAAAAAATTTGTCCAAAAAATGACAAATTATACATTTTTGAAAAGCCCTTGACCATGCCATTTCAAATATGCAAAAATTTTTGCAAAATTTTAAATAACCTGAT